TCACACCATATCTTCAACGTAGCACTTCGAGAACACTGTATCACGCGTAAGTTGAGCCAGCACACACAGAATTCGAGTTGCGAATTTTACGTGTGTCACCAGTCATCTGGAAATTCCACCTCGATTTGGGTCACTATGAATTCTTTTATGTGTTTAAGTGTTTCCTCCTGCAGCACTATAAACTAAATTAGGTATACCGTAGCTGGGTGTGCTAGCTTAAAAGCAAAAGCAAGTAGAATGCTCTAGCTCTTTTACTTTTCCCACCATTTCTCTAGATGTCTGGACATGTTTGAATGAGTTGACCTAATAATATAACAGGCTAATCGTAAACAAACAGCAATAACAAGGGCAGTTACCAGAGTTTCTTATATGTTCAAGAAAGAATACTTTCCTGCCACCAATTGACCATGCCTAGAGGTCTGAAGCACACGCGCAGCAATGAATCTGAAGAGTCATGTACGGCAACCATCGAGACAAAGCTCATGTCAAGAGATTTATTTTGACTTCTTCAATTCGTTTTCCCCTTTTCCCTGTTACTCCATTTTCAAACGGAACTCAGTTGAGGCATCAATGCATCCTATTTGCGTTGAACTCTAGTTTTAACCAGATTTGTTCATCCTAAGTAAACATCTTGAAAACTCAATTCCACTCGGGAAACCCAAAGGTTTGGAATCTTCATGTGCTTGTCTGAAGTTCTAAAGGATTCGGAATTACTTGATCATCCTAAGAAACTGCTATCCAGGCAAAATTGCTTCAAGCTAGCTAATGTGAGCATCAGTTGACGTGTGAGTGAGCTTGCATCATCACAGGGTGGAGTTTGCCGGAAATAGTAATAACAGCAGTGTGACCACGACCGGCAGTGAGTAAATACGCCCATACAACGCGGCGCACGTTACGGTGGAAGGCGATGATCACACAGGGATTCGTCATCGTATTCAGCGAAGAAAATATGGTCGTCAGATAATATGCGATGTCAGAATAGCCAGCAAGCGGCGGCAGAAAATAGAACGAGGCGCTGCCAAGGAACTGAGCAGCACAAACCAGCGAGAACTGCACTACCTAAAAATGAAAGCCATCAATACTTAGCACAAAAATGGTGCATTTTTTCAACTTCGTTGCTTGTGGTATGGCCAAAGAAGAGGTTTGCCACTGGAACTCTGGTGTCAGACTGCGAATTCACTTGGTCACGGGGTAGAAGAGCTAGCGATTTGAAATGTGCCAGCAGTTCGGACGATGCACCAGCGGTTTGAACAATGGACGAGCGACTCGACACCGTGGGAAGTGGCGAGAGTCTCCCTCGTTCACACTTTGACTCTCGCCACTTTCCCAGGCTCGCGAGCACCTGAGAACATGGTAGAGTGGCTACAGTCAGCGTGAAGGATTCTCGACACTTTCTCACGGTGTCGAGTCGGTGGTCCATTGTTCAAACCTCTGGTGCATCGTCCTACTTTGCGACCGTTGAATTCGCGAAGTCTGATACCGGCCAGAATGTGGTGCAGTAGTTAACGACCACACAAACAGCGTAGAACAAATTCGTACTATTCAGTCGAAAAGCCTGTCTCATTTCTGAGGTTAACACTTGAGCCATGTCGGCCCATGCTTTAACAGTGATTGTTTTCATTTTCATTTATTTTATTTCGATGTGGGATTTCAGCGTGCAGCAGGCTACGTATTACCCTACAAGAACATCCTCTTGCGATAAGCTTGAAACTGATATTCTTATTCTGAGTTGGAAGGCTGTCTGTCTGCGGTCCTCTACTACCTCTTTATCCTTATTTTCATCGTGTGTGATTCTCGGAGATAAGAAGGATAAAGCTTCCGGCGCAGATCAATTTTATTCTAAGGTTGGTTACTGGCTTACCTATTGCAGGAGGTCAACGGCAAGAGAAAGGGGTCTCATTTTGCGCCTTCCTTGACGGATTTCTTTGCTTTTTTCGCCACTGGCGCATTGATCAAGCATCGTCACGTCCACTATTGATCTAACCCCACCTTACTGTAACCCTCCAAAAGTCCTCGGATCCTTTAAAAGGATTACAGATGGCGCAGTAGATAAATTTGGTTTAAAAACCGAATGTTGCTGAATCTGCTGGCCGGATTAGCAAGACATGGGATGAAGAGACGGTTAAAGCGAGAAGTACTTCTAACCCACTTCTCACTTTCATTTGTCGTACTAGTTATATCATTCACATAATGCTTTTTCTCTCGATCAGAAACGACAGTAGAGCATACTTCAAGGGGACTCAAAACTACAAAGCTACACAGATACACTCTACACATGTTTTCATCCATGATGGGAGGACATTGTTTAGTTAAAGCCACGAGTCAGGCTCAGTGGACCAAACCAATCACTTTAGTCGTCTTATGTGCATGGCTACGCACCCACAGAGACGTTACCATGCTCAGAATCTCAAACGGCGCCGTAATAAGGCCCAGGGCACGTATTAAGCGCTATCGCCGCCTGGAGGCGCTCCGACCGCCCACCTCGGGATGTGGTGCGTGGCTGGCATAACGTGTGAAATCAGCTAGGTTGATTGCCGTATCAACCGATAGAACGACTGATATCTTCAGAAAACTTGTTTGTACGTGCCTCTTCCCCAAGCCAGCCTCCTTCACTGCTAGTGGGAAAGAGGGTTTTGTTAACGGGTTTTTCTCAGTTTTTCTCCACTGTCGTTCCACTTCGCATCTCTATACTCAGTTTCAATCGCCATAATACCCCCTTATTTGAGCCCCGGACAGTTTCAGTAAGTCCAGAAGAATCAAACCAACCAGAATAAGTTCACGTTTCTTCACAGGTGGAAGGCGGTTTCCTTGCGCCATCGCGGAATTCATATGCAGTATCTTGACGAAAATTCGCTAGGTATATAACAATATTCACACCAGAAAATGAAAATGCCATTACCCTCAAAGCAAGAGTGTAGCCACCACATTCGCTGAAATCAAGAGTGGTAGGTCATGAAACCATAGAGAAGGAGAGCGGATGCTTTCAACGCAGAAGCCAAGTTTTGATTGTGATAATTATTAAGCTGTTGCAACGCGGAAGCCCCTCGTTCTGATTTTCTCTTAGTTACTCCGGAGTCTTTGGCAGTAAAGGTACACATTAGCGAAGGAGGAAGTTTGAGTATCGACTAGTGAGCAACTCATCCTGAGACGCCTTTTCTTTACTAATAATTTCTTTTACAAATGTCTCTCTCTTTTAGGCGGAAGTGGTGTAGTGGCAAGTGGCACGCTTACCACGCGAGCGGTCCGGGGATCAAATCCTGGGTCGTGAGTCGCCCGGGCCAACCAAGCCTTCCATCCCTCCGGGGTCGGTTAATTGGTACCAGACTTGTCTGGGAGGATAAAAACACTGACTTGTACATCGGCTGGCCCCCGCAAGTCATTGTATAGGCCACATCGCATTCAAACGCCACTACGAATGTACAAATGGAAGTAGAATGCGTGCCGCATCCCAAAAAGGGATTGATCAACGGCAAATGCTTTAGGCTTTGATTCCTTTTAAACATAGATGGCTAAGAATTTTGAGTGCGAGCGTGCTCGACGACCTCAGACAAGGGGAAACAACTGCTGAATGTTATTGCAACTCAAACAGTTGATTGCTTAACAGCCGAAAACCTAATGAAGTCGAACGTTTCGGTTTTCGTGTGATCCCAAAACCATTACTTGAATGTCCGCAAACTTCTAGAGCATTTCCCACTCACCTGCAGCCGTAACTGAATCCTAATGTGTAAGGGCTCACACGTTTGTGACAACCGATAA